TTCGGGGCCGTATGGGAAACCCCGGCCGGACTCCCTGCGGATGGAACCTGAATAGGCGATAAACCTGGACTAGAGGCTTAAGTGTTTAGGTAGGTCGTGGTCTACACCCACGTCGGCTTTCGCTTGAAGTCTGCCGAGCACATGTCGTGTGCAGACGCTAAGTGGTGGAAACATGTATGAAGAAGTACACCCCTGCAGGGTTATCATAATCTATTCGAATAGCCGCGTCCGCGGTAAAGGACTACTTGGTTGCCTATACAGTTCATAGACAAGTAAATGGAAACTGTTAAAAGCCTCAAGATAAGTGTGAGTGCCGAGGATGGCTCTTCCGTAGGAAGACGGAGGTGGATCCTCGGTAGTGTATTGAAGTGGTGAGTAGTGGACTCGTGTGCGCAAAACCATTTCAAGTTGGAGTATCGTAGGATAGCCTAGCCAAGAGTCAGAGCTGGCTTGCTGCAATAACTCCACCAACCCATCTTGATACTATGCATGTATGTAGGATCTGATGTAAGTCTTGCTGAGTACCTTTGTACTCATGTTGCTATAATCTACATTTTTACAGAAGACGCTGCAACCCCTTATGATGGGTTCTATGTAGACGTTGACATCAACGAGTAGGCTAAAGACCCAGGTGGTGACCCTGAGCTTGTGAAGGACCACGTAGTATAGCTAGGCTTTCCAAGCCTCTTTTATTTTACTAGTTGTCTGTACTCAGACAAGTTACTTCCGCTGCTGGTTTGTATGACTGTATGACTTGTATGTTGGGTCGTGAGACCCGTACCTTTGTGTATGTTATATATGGCTCACTGAGCCTTAAATAAAGTACTTGTGTCGTAGAGTCATGTTGTGATGCTTCGTTGTATTTGCACATATCGAGCATATTGTGTGTATGATTGAAATGCTTGGTATGTGTGGGATCTGACTATCTAGTTGTTTATCTTTAGTAGCCTCTCTTACCGGGAAATGTCTCCTAGTGTTACCGCTGAGCCATGGTAGCTTGCTACTGCTCTGGAACACTTAGGCTGGCCGGCATGTGTCCTTCTTCGTTCCTGTGTCTGTCCCTTCGGGGAAATGTCACGCTTTGAGTACCGGAGTCCTGTTAGCCCGCTACAGCCCGGTTTACCGGAGTCCTGCTAGCCCAGTGCTACAGCCCGGACCCACTTGCTGATGACCGACACGTTCGAAGCTGGGTCATGGATGCCTGTCCCTGTAAGTCTGTGCCACTTTGGGTTTACGACTAGTCATGTCAGCCCGGGCTCTTTATCATATGGATGCTAGCGACACTATCATATACGTGAGCCAAAAGGCGCAAACGGTCCCGGGAAAAGGTAAGACGACACCCGTGGGAATACCGTGCGTGAGGCCGCAAAGTGATATGAGGTGTTACCGGCTAGATCGATGTGACATCGAGTCGGGGTCCTGACAATAAATTTGCAATGAGTATGATAAAAAAAAAGTAGTGTGATCCACAAAATGAAAATGCCATGCTAAACGTTAAAAACTAACATCCTCTACATAAAAAATGTTTTATTTTGATAAGCCCCAAAATTAGATTATATATTCTCGTTTTGTGAAAAAACAAAAGAAATTCACACAACATGAATTGCCATGGTCAATAAAAAGTTGGCATGCCCTTAATAATAAAAATGCTAGCCCATTAAAATAAGAATACCATCTTTGCAAAAATAAAAATACCATCCCCTTCAAAAATTAAATGCCATCATCTCAATAGTAAAAATGTCATCCTGTTAATAAATAAATATTCCATCCTCTTATAGTAATTAAAAATACCATCCTCTTTAAATTTAGTAACTAAAAATGTCATCCTCTTTAAATTTAGTAACGAAAAACCACACACACACATGAATTGCCAAGGTCAATGAAAATTAGCATGCCATTAATAATAATAAAATCACTTTTGTTAATAATAAAAATGACATCCTGTTAAAGATAATGCCAGCCTTAGAAAAAATTAAAATGCCATCCTCTTAAATAAAAAAAATTGCTGCCCTCTCAATAATAAAAATGTCGTCCTCTCAGTAATTAAAATTCGGGATTTTGGGGTTTTTACCCTCTCAATAATAAAAATGTCATCCTTTTATATGACAAAATGTTTCCTATCATCAGTGGTAGTTACCACCACTTGCGTTTGGTATATTGTATGTAGTATTTGTCAAAACCGAGAGTATGTATGTGTATTATGTAGTATATAACAATGTTTAGGTAGTATATATACTATTTTAGGTAGTGTTTATCATATTTTGAGCATACTTTTTTACATACAAATATGTACGTATTTCATAAATATAACCAAAACTATGGACTCATATCCAAAAAAAATTCATGTAACTTGCTTTGAAACATCTTAGATTTAGTATATAAACATATTTAGAATGATAATGTAGTATATATAGTACTACATGATATTATATGAGACATGTGGGGTAATTACTCCTAGGTGGTAGGATGTAGTTTCTTCATCCTTCGGTCCATTGGATATCGTGCCCGCCACCTTAGCAAAATGTCGGGAGTTCGAACCTCCGTCGTGCACATTCTTCATCTAATTTTTGGATAATAAAAAGAGAGCGTACACGGTGTTAGCCAAGATTCATGCAACGGCAGGGAATACATTCGCCGGGATTACCACCTAACGAACGTTCGCCAGATAACATTTTTATTTTTAAATACCATGTAAAACACCATTTTTTAATATGCGGTGTATATATATCTACAAAAAAATCAAATGCCACATACTCCCTCTGTTTCTTTATGTAAGATGTATTATTCTCGGCATGGTCACCAAGACACAAAATTATAGACATGTTAAGACCAAATTACCCTTGGCAAATCTATTGGTTAGTGGCAAGTAAATTAATTAGTCTAGGAAAGTAAGAGATACATGCAATCGACAGAGAGATACTTTCCTCTTTTTTTGCTACAAGGAGAGATACAGACAATCAGGAAATAGATACTTTCCCTTTTTCTGAAGGGGTAGCAAGGGAATTATAAGGAATTACAAGAAATGCATCTTACATTGTGAAATTTTATCGAAATACAAATACACCTTATATAAAGGAACGGAGAGAGTATTAACAAATCCAATTTTGCTAAGTCTCAGTTGACTGAGACTTCGTTATGTCTCAGTCGATACTATCTTCCTTTGATTTTGCATGGATATTCATGCAAAAAAAAGTTATTTTCGTTTTTTTCTCTTCTTCTTATATACTATATCGTTTGAGTGAGACCTAGCCGCACTCTAACAAATTTGCAAAACAGCGCAGAAATGTGGCATGAAATACAAAATCTGGTTCGGAAAACAATTATAATCTGAAAAAGCAAGTGGGAGTAGTGGTAAAATTGAGCAAAGTGATTCGTGAGCTGAGCCGCTGCCGCTGACCCAGGCGAGCTGCCTCCCGTCCTCTCCGGACACGGCTCTTCTGCCGTGCGCTAGGTGACGTTGGGCCGCTGACATGTGGACCAGGTATCCCATAGGCCCACATGTCAGTGGTAGAACGGCAGGCTGCGGAACGGTAGAGGATCCTCGCGCGTCCTCTCCTCCCCACGGAGCCGCTCTTCTCAAAGGCGGGAGGAAAAGAGGGCACGGCGAGAGAGATAACCCCCCGAATCCCCAAAATCAGAGAGCGCACAAGTAATAAAACCGAAGCGGCAGATACAATAAGCCGCCGCCACCACGCCACCGCCGCTGCAGAAAAAGGCAAGCAGTCGCACGGGGGAATCGCCTCGCCTGTGGCCGCGGTGGGTTGGTGGGTGCGGGGTGCCGTCGCCTCCTATTCTCAAGTCTCAACCCCACTCCCCATTACCACGCTTCGCCTGGATGCCCTCTCGCTTCTCCCCCACTCCACGCGCCGATCCGCCAGCCAAGAAACCACGAGGCGATCCAGTTGAGGAGGAGGAGGACGAGGAAGGAGGAGGAGGCGAGGTATCCGCGCTGACTCTGCCGCGAGCTGCCCCCTTTTAGCCCCCAGCCCTGGCCACGCTGCCGCTGGACGACGCCATCGCCCACCTGCACGCCGTCTTGGGGTGGTCGACCAGCAGCCGTGGCCGGCCCGGCGCCAGCAAGCGGTGGCAGCGCACTCGGCGGAGCGCGATGCTATGGGCAGCGCGCCTGTCCGGCTTCTTCTCCGCCGCCATGCTGATGGTGGTCCTCTCGCCGTCGCTGCAGTCCTTCCCGCCCGCCGAGGCCATCCGGTCGTCGCAGTTCGACAGCCACGTCCGCTTCCCCGGCCAGATCGCCGGGGGGGCCAGGGGCCTCCCCTTCCGCCGCGCGCCGTCCTTCCGCAATGCCGCTGACTGCGGCAACGCCACCGGCAGCAATGTCTGCGACCCCTCGCTCGTCCACATCGCCATTACTCTGGACGAGGGCTACCTGAGGGGCTCGGTCGCCGCCGTCCATTCCGTGGTCCAGCACGCCATGTGCCCGGAGAGCGTCTTCTTCCACTTCCTCGTCTCCGACCCCAGCCTGGGCGACCTCGTCCGCGCCGTCTTCCCGCAGCTCCGGTTCAAAGTCTACTACTTCGACCCCGCGCGCGTCCGGGGGCTCATCTCGTCGTCGGTGCGCCAGGCGCTGGAGGAGCCGCTCAACTACGCCCGCAACTACCTCGCCGACCTCCTGGAGCCCTGCGTGCGCCGCGTCATCTACCTCGACTCCGACCTCGTGCTCGTCGACGACGTGGCCAAGCTCTGGCGCACCGACCTCGGCGGCCGCACCGTCGGCGCGCCGGAGTACTGCCACGCCAACTTCACCAAGTACTTCACCGACCGGTTCTGGTCGGAGGAGCAGTTCGCCGGGACGTTCGAGGGCAGGCGGCCGTGCTACTTCAACACGGGCGTGATGGTGCTGGACCTGGCGCGGTGGCGGCGCGCGGGCTACACCCGGCTTATCGAGCGGTGGATGGAGATACAGAAGTCAGCGCCCGGGCGCATCTACGAGCTGGGGTCGCTGCCGCCGTTCCTGCTGGTGTTCGCGGGGCACGTGGCGGCGATCGAGCACCGGTGGAACCAGCACGGCCTGGGCGGCGACAACATCCTGGGCAGCTGCCGCGACCTCCACCCGGGGCCGGTGAGCCTGCTGCATTGGTCGGGGTCCGGCAAGCCGTGGGCGCGGCTGGGCGGCGGGCGGCCGTGCCCGCTGGACGCGCTCTGGGCGCCGTTCGACCTGTACGGCCCGGCCGCCGTGGAGCCGTCCCGGTAACCAACCAACCGCAAACAACACTACTACTACAAAGATTCTTTTCCTTCTTTCGCCGACCCGTATAAATCCTGAGCTCTAATTCTTGGTCACCGTTACATGTTCAAAAACCTATATATTTTTTCTCCTCCTTCCCGTTCTCTTTCAATTTCTTCTTCTGTTGAATTAAATGTTTTGTGCCACTCCTAGATTGTTCGTGTTCGTCCCACATATTTTTGGTCGTTTGTTTGGTGCTACAAAAAAGGTCATTTGTATCAATACCATACACTCTACAGAGCTGCAGCCTCATCATGGCATCATGGTGATGGTGATGATGATGATGATATAAATAAATAAATAAATAAAAGCAGAGGGAGGGAGGGAGAGAAACAGACTTTGCACATTTGTTGTTCGTCTTCCCCTTAAATGGCAATAGTATCTCACTCCCTGCTGTTTGGTTTGGTGGCTTGGTCTGTTGTACTGGTGCTCTGGCAAACGGTGGCAATCAATCAATTGAATTCGCACATCCATCCCCCTGAAGGGTCAGCCGGTCCAATGCAACACCTGCACAAGCCTTAACGCTGCTGGCAGAAGAGAAGTGTCCTACCACTCCTACTCCATGGACCGGTTCATTGGGAGGGATGGCTCATGTCGAAATCGCTGGCAGACATGAGTAACTTGGAATCCTCCCTTTGTGGCTCGTGCACTACGGCGGCTGACACCAACAACCATTTCGAGCCTGAGCACTCGCGATCTGCCGATGGGTTCATCATCAGTTAATTATAGGGAGAGCGTTTCCGTTAAGCTCCCGACCCGACGACTGAAAGATGATGGATGGGCGGGCGGTGCGGGGGGAGGACGTGGAGGGTTGCAGCGGGCGAGCAACACGGGACTTGTGAGCTACCGCGCGCCCGTCTCCTCCTTTTCGAGGGCCCTTTCCGGTGGGGCCTCACTCGCCACTTGCTGGGCTCGCCGCTTTATTCTTTCTTTTGCAAATCATTATTGTGCTTTCCCTCTCCGTTGATCAAACATTTTCTTCTCTCTTCTTTTGTCCCGAGCCCTTCATCAGCACCTCATCCCTGGTATATAGAGGCCTGCTAAAAGGTCTCCTCATCATCTCACTTTCCTTGCCAGCCCCCACTAAGCATCTGGTATCTGTTTGTCGACCTCCCGCCCGATACGTGCGTCCAACCATATGTTTCTTTGCTGCTGCTATTGCTGAACGTTGTAGAAGGAACATTTCGTGTCATTTGTTCCCTGGAATCAATCGTATCGTACCCGAGCCTTCACTCGCGGTCGTCCCACTCACCCGACCCGACGGAAGGGGAGGTGGTGAAGGGCACGTCCCCGCTCGGTGCCCGCCACACGCGTCGGTTTCCGCCCTCGCCAGGCGCGGCCTTGGTGTGATGTGCGCGACGGTGACGGTCTAACCGACGCCCATTTCCACCTTTTCACGTGTTGGTTTCTTTGCTTTTTCTTGCTGTGTCATTTAGGGTTCAGAAATCATCTGCTGTTGATGCGTTCCTTGTGGTTCGTTCCGCGGTATAAATTCCTCTCCGAGCTCCGTTTCCCAAAGGTACAGTGTGTTCGGTTCTTTTAGATGATAGATAAGATAAGAAAGTACAGTGTTGATCATTCGTAAAGCCAACGCTAAGCTAATCACTCCAATCTGATTGCATTTCTGTTTGTATGCTAGAGTTCTGGTGCACCTAACGTCCTCTTGGCCGCCCTTTTCTTTTTCTTTTTGCGAGGACCCAAGAAACAAACATTTGTTCCGTTTTGATTTGAACAGCTGCTAACGTTGGATTCGCTCGTGACACTGAAGCACGTACGGACAGCGCACACAGATTGGCCGAGTAAAAACGAGAGAGTATTTTCTGGTTGGCATGCCTGCAGGTGCTTGGCTTTTCTACAGATCGGGCTAGCTAGCAGCGCCGAACGTAGTTTTGGTTGTGTTTTGTTGCCCAAAGCCATGAATGATACCTTTCTTGCCGTCGCTCCGGCAGTTCCTTGTCTCGGGACGGCAGAGTAGAAGAAGGCTAGCTAAGCTAGAGAGACAAAATGTTGGTGGCTTTCTGGAACCCTTGATAGTATACGCTGCCGTCCCCTCTGCCTGCCCTTGAAGTGCCGTATCGCAATACTCTATTAGGAGCAGTCGACCGATGGAGACACGTACGGGGTGGTCCTCGATCGCCATGGATCCATGGATGTGCACTTGCAGGAGGCGCCGGGTTCCGGTGGGCTGGCCTACCGGCCGGCGGTTGGCGTGTCAGCGTCGCCCGAGCACGACCGACCGCCCCCGCCAACGCCAACGCGCGAGGAGGAAAGCCAATCCCCAAATGTGATCGCCAAGGGCCACGCCCACCGGCCTTGTACGTGACATGCCAATCCAAAGTAGTGATCTAAACGCGTTTATATCTACTACCACTATAAAAGAAAGAGAGGGGCAGATCCAAACAATCTAACCCATTCATTTACGAGATCTAATGGCTCCTAATCCTTCCGTGTTTAACACCAAGCCACCACGGTTTAGTGCCCGCAAATCCCTCTGCCCACCATCGTTACGAGAAAAGAGAAGCCCCCACGACCTATTCGCCCCAACCGCTGCACGCCCCTTGCGTCACTGCCGACCACGCCGCCCGCACGCACCCCACACCGCCTCGTCTCTCCGGCGCCTGCCCCGCCTCCCCGATGCGAGGCAGCTCTACGCGCCGCCCCTCATCATCGGCGGCGAGAGGCACGCGGGAGCTGCAGCCGCCGCCAGGGACGTGGACACGCGTGTAGGCCAACCGCCGGCGTACGAGGTCGCTCCTGAGCCCGCGGTGCGGCGGCGCGGAGCCCTCCGCCGCCAGTTCCCTGCCGGTTCGAGATCCCCACCGCTCTCCTCCATGCCATCACTTTCCTTCCTGCTGCCAGTTCCACCCTTCTCTGCCCTATCTCCAGGTAAAGTTCTGCTCCATCCATCGTAAGTAGCGTCCATGTCATCTCTCTCCCTTTAAATCTCTTTAGTACTATTTATTAGCCCATGGTGTTTCCTTTTCGATAGTGAAACTCAGGCGCCCATGACCATTGTGTTTCCTTTCCTTTTATTCCTTGGTCCTAATTTTTCTGAACCACCATGATTTTCATTAGCTGTAACTAATAAAGTAAGGCGTGGCTGTTTGCTTCGGCCAAATTCAGCTCCATTATCAAATGAATGTTAGGAGAAAATAAGTTGGTAGTACTTATCTTTTTCCAGAAGAGCTGGCATGGTGGACAGGAGCGCTCTTTTGGTTTTGCTTAGCTGTAGGATAAAATGATCACCCAGTCAGTCATCGACTCATGGCCAGGTTAAATGTATTCAGCTGTATAATACTCATATGGTCAGACTGCTTTCTTCTGACTTATATTCTAAGTTTTCTGAAGACATCCAACGACCTTTGTACTGATTTCTGTAGTTGTTGTTGCTAATGCTGTTGTACGTACTACGTAATGTTATAACGGTGTTAAATTCTGAAATTCAAGCCTCCCATTGTATGTGGCTGAAGTGATAAATTATCTCTTTTTCTTCTTACTATTCCAGGCGCAAACAACCTGTAGATTCAAGGAGTACAATACCAAAATACGAGCTGCAAAAGTGACTCAAATTCCTCTTCGCTCATAATTAACTACATTGGTAATTGTCCATGTGTGGATCTGGTTGACATGACCATATTTTTTGCTGTTTGCCATTCAATTTTAACTACAATATTGTTTCTAGATAAGATATTGTTTTATGTATTATCATGGGTGCACTTCTTAAGTTTCATGCACAAGTTGTTGATATTTACACAATACTGAGTGTCCTATGAATACATGGTTGTGGCCATCATTAAGGGTATTCTGCCTCTGAAGTATTTTATTTCTTGTATGTTAGTGTTTTGATTCTTGGGGCGCTTGACAAATATGTATACTTCTGCAAAATGGAGTAGGAACATGCAGCTAAACTTACGATAATCAATTTTTTAGTTTTTAATAACTTGTGTTCTGAAGCATTTTGTTTTCTTCAATTACATGATTTAGTAAAATAACATATGGCCAGTTCATTACAAGTGTTGTTGGTTGTAGCGTATTTCGGCTTTATCTTCTAACATACTTCATGGTTGAATTAGTGGACAACATGCTGGAGAGAGAATGTTCATCTCTATGATCCCTTTGGCGCCCTCGGAGGACATTTCGCTTCCTTTCAAATTGAAGAGGAAACAATTCCCTGGATGGATCCTGGAAAGCCTCTTCCGGAACCAAGTCCCCTCCCCACTCGGAGTCCTCCGCCGCTGACGCATGGGTAAGCGCAAGAGCTGTAGCCCGTCCACACGGTTCAGCGAGCTGCCGCCGTCGTAGATAACCAAGACATACACGGAAATAAGCAAGATTCAGTGCGCCGCCCTGCCCCCGCGCGTTCTGAGGGTGCGACGTCCTCGACGTGTCCAAGACAGGGTCCAGGAAGACCCTCTCCTTCGTGATCCCGGTAAGCTTTTGATGTTGGTTTACTCCTCCAATTCCACTTACAGGGGAACAAAGAGTAAGAGTAAGCATGGGGATAATGGTATTTTCATTTGTGATTCTAATTGATAGTATTACTGTCAGCTCCATCCTTAGAGCAATTGACGAAATGTCTCTATCGCCTAGATTGGTAGACAATAATTGTGCACACAGAGGACAATGTCCATAAAATAACTGCTACTGCATTGCTAATGCAGCTTGATTTGATCTCAATAATTTAGTTTTTGAGTATTACTTTCTTTCACACCTCTGCAAAATACTCCTATGTTCTAGCTTCTCAAGTCTCTACTCTCAACCAGTCCAGTTGTTCAGGTGCTTTCTTGATAAATATTGATTTTTTTCCTTTATCTAGCGATTTCAATCCTGTATCCATCATTCTCAGGATAACCGTGTGATGTAGCCATGGGATCCAAAATAACTATTTTTTTATTGAAGCTACAGACTAAGCAGTTTCTACCATGTGTGTTGTATTTTGAGTTAAACCTGAATGGCTTTCGTTTTAT